TTGTTAAAAGACTTATCCCAAGTCAGTTGAAGAAGTTCTCACCTTGGAAGCCTATTAATCCATGCAAGAGGATTGATCCAGATGCCCAATTGAATAATTGGATGAGTCATCAGTAGAAGTACCATTCCTCACTGACTCCTCCCTGTTTCTTTTACAGGTTGAGCGATTTAACCACAAATAATTCCTCTTCATTACTCTTCTTGTTAACACTCAGAGCACAACCCTTACAGGTTAGTAGCATAGAGGCTGACAAATTGAATCTGATTCCTCATGCACTCATTCCTATTAGCAAATAGTCATTTAAATCTTATATCTGACAGACACAAGGCAAAAAATAAGTTTTTTTTAGCAGACCTATGAAATCAAGCTTCTACAACAAGAAGATCAGTAGGCATACACAACATGGAATTAGCCCTCCTGAGTCAGGGTTCTAAAGCTGTAAACTAGCTGGGGGCCATGTTTAATAACAGAATTATATAACAGAATTATATGGCAGAATAAAATGGAGAAGAAATTCATGTTGATGAGAGTATACATCCTAGTGATCATTGCAAGACAAGAGATAGAGGTAGCAGTGAGATGGATACAGAAGATAAAGTGAAAGAAACAAGGCCAAAATTCCAACAATTTGTTGTTGTAACAATTTATGATCACAGTGGGCTTCTGTAGTATCACCACAATGTCATGTTGTGCTGTGGGAAACTTGTGAATCTACTTGAAATATGGTGTGCTAATAGAGATTCAAAGAAAGATGTTTGTAAAAAGGATCCAAATTGTTAAACCCTGCATCTGCATCTGGTTGAGGAGAGATAGAGCCCTTTTACAAAGTTTCCCTACCAAAATTAGTAATTTTTTTGTTGCATCAATATCAAACCTGTGATATGTGAATTTCAAAAATTGAAAAATACATACTCATGTTCATGGCACCCCTTGACAAGTTCAACTTCAATCAAATTCTGACAAGAAGTGCAAAAATGTTCAATCACTGCAAAGTATTTTGATGTGCACTCTGGAGCAGGGCATGTATATTGGAAATGACCCTCTGGGGTTCTCATGATTACTTTAGTTTTATCACAACAAGATTCAGCATGTCCAATTGCAAATGACATCCCAATCTCAAAGGCAAAGCAAAAGATCAATCCTTTCCATATGTGCATTATGGATTTTTGGCTGTTGATGAATTGAAGGAACATGGAGATCAGAAGAGATTAACACATGAGAGATGAAAGATTGTTTTTCCAGATACAATAGACACATGAAGCCATTGTAATTTCTTACCTTTTTTCAACAAGGACGTAGTGACAAGTAACAAATAGCTGTAGATTTTGGTCAATTATCTTTCAAGGGCAATCAGTGTTGTCTCCTGCAGACTTTCTCTTTCTTCCTGCTTGAGTGTTGGCGGTTATTGGAGGAGATAGTTGATCAAGAGACTGTTGAAACCAAGCGCTTCGCTCTTCCCTTAAGTATATCTAAGGATAACCGGCTCTTTTAAGATAAGAGGCCAGAAAAAACACGATATCGGCCTGCGCAATGATATGGCAATTTGGTACAAAGGAGATGACAATTGCCATTCTCAAATGAAGGTGTTGTTTAAATGGCTGGGTTTGGAGGGGAATACAGTTGCGCGCGGCATTGTACTGTACAAGGCCACCCGCAAATGTTGAGTAGGTCGCGCGGGGTTAATCCTCACCCCCGACGGGGGTCCAGCACCTGTAAAGAATACATATTTGGAGTCTACAAGGTGTGTAGATTCCAAATCTAAAACGGCGACCAATTTGGTCCAGCCAAAAAATAAATATTTTTTTTTTTCACCGGACCATTCGGTCACAGGCCAAATATGGGGGCCTAAGTACATAAGTATGGGATAGGCTGACACTATAAACCCATACTTATATGGCTATATGTCAGCCTAAGCCCATACACATAAGCTTAAAGCCTATGTAGATGGTCAAAAGTGCATCGGGTGGACTGATTACAGCATCGTGGATGTCAGATTGACGTCTCAACCCCCCAGAAATTGATAAAAAAACTCAGATTTTTCCAAATTTTGGGTCCCAACCATTCGGACATCCCAAAATCCTATACAGTACAATGCCGCGCGCCACTGTACAAGAGTCTCAGCTGATTGCATCCGACTCTATCCGACTTTTGGTTGTTCATACAGCTAGGCTTCATCGGAACTACCACCCTACATGTTTTTTTGAACAAGAGTTTCAAATGAAACGAGTTGATGATAAGAACTACAGTCCCTCTCGGCTGCGGCTACAGGACTTATCCTTCTTCAGGAGACTGCTGGTGTGAAGTAGTGGCTAGCGGCAAAGCCGGCCCTCCTGCAGGGAAGGACTTTCGGCGAGCTTAATACAAAGCTAAGCGGCCACGTCTTGTGCGAGGTCTACTGTGTTTTGTTGTTTTTTCATACACATTTTTTTACTGATCCTCTGTTGAGAAACTTTGGGGGTTCTGCTGCAAAGTAAGGCTCAGATTTACGCCAGGTAAACAAGTGATTCAAATGTTGAGTGGTAGCGTCATCGAACTTAATCAGTCCCATCTTGGGGAGGCGGGAGAGACCCTGCGGAGCCCTCCCCAGAGAGGCTTGGTTAAGCTCGTAGCATCATCATCTGACAAGTCTGGGGAATCGTGGCCTTGCAAAGAGGCTGCTAAGCTTGATTTAGATTTGTATCTGAAGCACGAAGGGTGCGTTTGGACTTTGCCTAAACTTTTCCGGCTTCCTTGTAAGGGCTCTGCGCCGGGAGGCATTTCTTCAGGCCTGGTGTCAAGAATTTTCATCCCGGCAAAGGCATTGAGTTCTGGATTTAGGACTAGATAAAGTACAATTTGAAATAAGAACATCGGAAAAAATGGACATTGAATCATTGTGAAAGCAGCACACATGTCGATCTATTTGCGCAGGTAGACCTAGCCACAAGGCCCAGACGGTTGAACAATTTATGGATATAAATGCTGAATTCTTGGTAAATGTTGACTACATTGTGGAGAGGAGAGCCCAAGGCAATTGAATGTGATTATTTTGATGACTCAATGCTTGGATTGACTGAGATAGGTTTCTTGAATGACTCAAGTTTTTCAGTAGGCCAGGCAAGATGGAGGACTTCCCTTGAATTTTACAGCCCCTAGTAAAGCTATTTTCACAAGCTATAAAGCTGTTTTCCCAGAAAAAAAAATTAGCTTTGCAATTCTAGCTTTAAAGAGGTCCATAGATATGGCCCCTTTGCATCCGGATATCCAGCTGCTTTTTCTAGGGAAACAGGCATCCGCACCCGCATCTGCATCCACCAGCGGGTATCCCCCTGCCTTAGAGCATCTCCAGCAGAGCCACAACTGGGCAATCTTCAGCCCAAATCAGCAGCTCACGGGAGAATTTTGGGGTCCAGCAGAGCCGCAATTGATTGCTGTTATGAGATGGTCGCTCAAGAGCTTGAGTACATTGCAAATAGAGAGAGAGAACTATATATATGCTAGATACAGGCTTTGCCGCAGTCGACTCTCACAGGACTCGGTATAAGCATACCTATGTCCTAACAATTGCCCCCGGCAATAGCCCCGGTGGCAGAGACCGGCTACTCACTCCGGGCTGTGTTTTTCTCACAACACACCCACCACTTCAACACCTTGCTACACCTCCCCCAAAGCATTCGCTAGTCGTCTACCAGAGCTTGGCAACTTGGCCAACTGCCCCCTGCTATCTATTGCCAGTCTGCTGTGGGAGCAGTGTGACAGAGGTGTGACAGAGGTGTGAAATGTGGCCGCAGGCCGCTATCCGGGCAGAAATTGACCCTGGCTCTGCTGGAGATGCTCTTTAGCGGGTATCTTTGGATACCCACCCCTTAAACCAAGGGTGGTTGGAGGGGGCTGCCAACAATTGACCAAACCAGAAGGAAAACCTTCCGGTCAACAAGGCACATGTACCTTGTTGGCCAGAAGGTTTTCCTTCCAGTCAAAGAGGCACATGTACCTCATTGGCTTTGAGACGGTACAGTCTCCAGGCCAAGAGGGTCTGTCTGACGGGTATCCCTCTGGATACCCGGATATCCTCTGAGATCTTGGGGGAAATGAGACATCCGCATCCGCTGGTGGGTATCCGCAACGGATAAACCAAGGCCATCTCTAAAAGAGGACTTTAAACCAACGTGAAGTCCTCCAATCATTGATGAAACCCCATTACTTGTTGAGGGGAAGATAAATTCTCTAGACTGTTCAGGCTATACAGTGGGTTGACAGAAAAAACCAAACCCCCCAAACACCTTTTTCAGGGGATCAAAATCAATCTTTTTGAGAGACTTCTTTTGGGATGATGGGACAATGTGGGATTGGGAAAGTCATCACAGCATCTATTTGATTCATTGCCAAAAAATACATCTGATGGTTGGGTTTCCCTAAAACAAATTTAGTGTCACAGGATGTTGAAGGATGCAGAGTGGATCCAGAACAACACTCTGACACAAATGTGTAAATTGGTTTATACTATTACTACACTTGAACTTCAGAAGCTTACAACACACATGCATATTGCACTAGTAGACAAAGGGGTGATGTGAGTGTGGTGGTTTGGACACTTACAAAGGAAAGGTTCACCAAAGCCTCAGTGGAGACTCCCCCAAAGCCTCCTTGATGAACTTTCTTGTTTCTCACTTGGGCAATTTTTACATTGCAATTTGATCTGAATCCCCATTTGCATCCCCGGGTGGGGCAGTATTTTTGGAGCTGGGAGTGTAAATGAGGTTTATACCCGCGGTTTGCACTCTGCAGTGGAGATGCTCTTAGTACCTTGAGTCCCCCATTTGTTCTTGAGAGCACAGATAACCACGAATTGTAATACCAGCCAAAAAACACTTCTCCATAGTACAATGTAAATGGGGGACAAATGAGAGAGAGAGAGAGTAAACTGGCCACTTGGCTAGCAACTCAACCCCACACACTGCAATAGACACAATGCTACAAATACCCAGGGACAATTGAGAGCCATGGAGACTTCTAGAAACGTGATATTGTGAATTCATGTAAAATGATCAGACTGGTTTCTTATGTACTCACAAAGCGACCATAATGAATGGCCCACAGCCCATGTCGAAGCAACCATACTTCTACTTCTGGGCTTAATTGATGTGCAAGCAAGTAGCACTAACTGAGAGATACATAGTTCTGAAATATGGCATTATTGCATTTGATACATTTACAACAAATCGCAACAAGGACTAAGATTCAAGTGATCAATCATCGATTACAATCACTTCGTTTTTAGGTTTACCTTGGCTGAGCGAATGACCTTCTCCAGAGAAAGCGGGAGGGGCGGCTTGAGAGGATGATGATGAGGAGGAGGCTGGTTCCGGAGCCTCAGCAATCGATCGAGACCGGCCAGATAAGGTGTTGCCGCTACTCGAGACCTTGGCAAACGGAGCCGCTGGCGCTCCCGGCCCTTCACCGTCGGCTTTGGCTGGTTCGTACGGCTTGACATTGAATCCAAAGAACAGCTGTGATCACAAGAAATATTTTCGTTTATCAGGGGAAACAGCTAAAAGGTTGTTTGCTGTGTGAGAGGGCTCTGTAGCTCACCGTCCCAAATGGTAAATCCAATCTAGCCGGCACTTGTCTATCGCCAATCTGAGTGTCCGCAGTGACAATCCGTTGCACATCAGTCCTGAAGATCTTACTGCTCGAATCGACCTGTTCAATCTTCTTCTTCTGGACGCCTTTTCCCTTAACGACCTTGCCACCCATCGTTCGACCTCCACCTTTGAAAGCCTCCCATGAGGCTGAGCCGCCACCGGGATGTGGAGCTCCTGGCGCCTTGGCCGCGCTTCCACGAGCATCGACTGATTGCGTGCCCGAGGTGTCGATGTTCAGTTTTGAAGCCATGGTCGCCGGTGGTGCCCTGGGCACCGGTGTCGGTTCGACGTACCCCAGTGGTGCTGCAAAATCAACCTAGTAAACCGGTCGTAGTTTGAGTGGTTAGCATAAACTCGAAGTTGTTAAGTACACATTGAAACTGTTTCCTTGCTCACCTCAAGATCGGTTTCAAAAATGCTCACGCCTGGTGCGTCATCAGGCTTGAGCTCCATAATCAGAATTTCAAAGGTCATCATGTTGTGGTAGATTTCGATGATATCCCCTTTGGTCAGACATGAGAAGTTCCGCAAAGCAGTCTCGAGTCTATTGTCGGCGAATTCAGAAAAAGCGGCATTGTTATCAGCGATGAGACATGCACCAATGTGGATTTTGTTGTGTAAAAAGTACTAACACAGCTTTGTGATCACCGAGTTCTAAGAACAGGGTACTTTGGGCTTGTACTTTGGCAAACTTTCCTTTGGGCAAGCGGGCCCCAGTGAGCTTGATCGAATCACCTTCATTCAGCTCTAGACGAGTCATCATCTGGAGAAGATTATTATCGGAGCGAGTTAGTTTTGAGATGCCAAGGGGTGCATTCGGCCCAATGATCTAAGAGTACAAACCCATTGAGGTAAGTGCACGGTTCCTGGATCGGCTATGAATTCCAAGACTCCACAGTGAGTAAACAGATCCCTCTTGGTCGGTGAAGAATTTCGAATTTCAAACATGAAGGGTGATTCCATATCCATTTCCGTCAATTGAACGAGAGCATCCTGTGGCATGATTACTAACGGAAAAAGATCAAGTAATTATTACGTTTAGAGATTAAAGCTTGCGAGATGTGAATGAGCAGGATATCTATTGACGTACTTTTTCCACCGTGCATCACATTACTTCTTCCACCAGTTCGTTCACCTCGACCCTGTTTGATCTCCAAGATGGCGGTCGAGTAAGCTTTGTACGTTTTGGAGAATGCTCTAGCTGGAGGCCTCATTGAAGGATGACCACCGTATCCCATCATCTGGTTTCCGAGATGAGGCCAATCGGTGTGGATCCCGAATCCTCGCTCGATCCCGTTAAATGAGTTGAGCATGCCCCCAAAGCCATCGCCCATCCGGCGTGCGTTATTGTTGCGATTCGTCGGTTGTGCTGGAGGGTCGACTACATCTTCAGCTTCGTACATCGGGTCCTCGTCATCGTAATAGTCCATTTCGGTATATTGTTTTGGTGGGCGATGTGTTTCTGGTTGGTTGTGGGGTGAGAGAGATACGGACAGATGGTCAACTGGAGTGGTCAGACTGAGTTAAATACTGGTGCGAAACCCGGTTTAATACCTAGCAAAACCACTTTCGGGCCTGACCTGAGTCATACAGCCATACACGCACTTCAGGATAGCAAAGCCCTAAACTTAAGCATAACATTACACATTAGATATAAAAACCACAACTATTCAAAATTATACACCAGGGGCCTACTGGGGTTCAAAATAGTGTTCCTCTGCTGCTTGCAGTGCACACCTCACAGAATCCTGCTTGAGTATAATCTTCAGCTTGCACTTCCCAAATTAACTCAAATCCAGACTCAGCAATTCAACTCAGTAGCAGTTGCTGAGTGGTTGGCAGAAGCCAAGCACTCCATCAGGACAAGTGCCATATTGTTTACTCACATCTATGGTTGACATGTGATGTGAAAGCTTAAGCAATTTTGATTTAGTGTCACTCAAGAGACTGGTGCTGAAAATAGGAGTGTGTTCAAATTCAAAAATTCTCCACATCTTCCTCATTAGCTTAGATTTCAACACTGATTCAAACAAAATAGATTGATTGATACAAAAGATTCATTGAAACTGACAAGATGAATGTACCAAAACAAACAAGATAAATCAAAAGAATCAAGATTGATTAAAAAAAGGATCAGTTAAGGTAAAGGAGATTGAATCAAATGAAAGTAATGGATTCAGCTCAAACAAAATATCAACTGAAAAAAAGGAAGATTCACAGAATGAGAAACCAATGATCAAGGAATCAAAAGGTGTATCTGCAATTCAGAATTGATCATGTAGGTTGGATATTCAGAATTGATGAGGGTGGGCAAGTAGAGCTTGGAGTTGAGAACAGGGGTGTGTGTGGTAATACATATGCACTTTTGGAGAAAATATATTTAAGCACTGTTGAAAGAATCAAAAAAATACATTTATTCAAATTGAAGTGTTGTGGTACATACACTGACAGGCCCGGGTTTGGGGTGAAGCAGTTGTTTTTTTCTTATAGTGGATCTGTTCACCACACACATTCAGGATAAAAACATCTCCTTTGAACAGAAACTAGTTCCCCAGTACTGTTCTCAGGATTTTTTTATGCTTCAATTTTTTGTTTGAGTTTTTTTATGAGAGAGGGGAGGGTCTTAACTTGTTTCTGATCAGCCTTGGATGTTTTAGAATTTTATTTGTTGGTCATATGATCCTGAGACTTCTGATGGCATGAAATTCATCCAAAGGGCCGATCTATTCTGTAGGTGTTTCTATCTCTGGGCAGGACATTGTCATTGTATATTTGAACAATCTGTGACATCCTGAGAGGTCTACTCCCACATTGGTCACAGCACTTCCTTTGTAGGGAATATTCTATTGGGGCCAAGTTGCAGGTTTTACAAATCATTGATTGGCCACCATCCTCAACACTGTAACTACACTGCATGCATAGGCAGTTTCTGTACACTGGCTCTAGTATCCCCCCATCCCTGGGGCAGGGCTTCAGTTGAAATGGTGGGCTATCATGATCACAAGTATCACAGTGAAGATTTGCAGTATTCCCGTTGACTTTCCAGCTCAAATCTGTGCGGACACAGATAGTTCTGTGCCATGTCAGACATTTGTCTGGTGGCTCCACACCAGCACAATGTTTTAGTGCTGCCAAGACTATCAGCCCAATCAATTGCATCTTTTACAGCAGTTACACGGAATCAATGTGAGTGAGGTGGGATTTGAACAGGTGACCTTGGGAGTGATTTTGTGAGCCGGATTGGGGCTGAAAGGTTCAAGTACCCAACTGGTAGAAAGGGGTATGGTGAAAGCAACTACCAAAGAGCTATTTAAAGTCTCAGACCCAGCCACAGATTGCTGGTAATCAGGCACAAAGAAACATTGTTATGAAATCTTCAGTAGATTTCTGATATCCAGTACAACCTCCATCAATCCCTTCCAATGATGATCACTGTCACCAAAACAACTTCAGGGTCAGATTGGTCAACTGCATAGTTTCCTGAGCCTTAATTCCACCAGGGGAGCTTTGGGGGCACTCCCCAGGGAGTGCCTTATCTGTAACTTTTCATGTGACTGTCTAATGTATAGTATTTCATTAACATAACCAAGTGTGAATGGTTTTTGAAATCAGGTAGAAATCATCCAAAACCCAGCTGGTACTCATCTGAAACTCAATTGCAACTAAAATGGGCACATAATACAAATTGGCTACAAAGTTTTGTCATCAAAGTGGAAAGCATTGCTCAAACACTTTTCATACCAGGGGGTTACTTCCAGCTGAATGGGGCCAGAAATGTTCCACCTTCATTTTATGGTTGGACATACTCCTCTTGTGATTGGTGTGTGATATGTCACCGCATTGAGCTTGATTGCAATGCGGCGACATGTCATGCACGTTTCACACCAAAGGGGCACGTCCATCTGAAAGGTGTCTGAACTGTGACACCCTCATGAATCTGGTGTACATTCCCCTCTGGTCTCAACAGTGTGTGATATGTCACCCTATTGTACGCGAGTACAATAGGGTGACAAGTCATAGGCTGTTCTGAAGAGGAGGGGCATGTCCCCTGGGTACACTCAGATGGACATGGCCCTCTGATGTGAAAAGTGTGTGATATGTCACCGCCTTGCGCTCGAGCGCATTGCGGTGACATGTCACGCACGTTTCACACAAAAGGGGCAAGTCCATTTGAAAGGTGTCTGAACTGTGACACCCTCATGAATCTGGTGGACATTCCCCTCTGGTCTCAACAGTGTGTGATATGTCACCCTATTGTACGCGAGGACAATAGGGTGACGAATCACAGACTGTTCTGAACAGGAGGGGCATGTCCCCTGGGTACACTCAGCTGGACATGGCCCTCTGATGTGAAAAGTGTGTGATATGTCACCGCCTTGCGCTCGAGCGCATTGCAGTGACATGTCACACATGTTTCACACCAAAGGGGCATGTCCATCTGAAAGGTGTCTGAACCGTGACACCCTCATGCAACTGGTGGACATTCCCCTCTGGTCTAAACAGTGTGTGATATGTCACCACATTGCGCTTGAGCGCAAGGCGGTGACATGTCACACACTTTTCACACACAGTTCGGACCAGAGGGCAATGTCCTGCTGAGTGAGGCCCAAACGGTGTCACCCTCATGTACACAGGGTACATGCCCCTGTTCTGAACAGCATGTGACTTGTTGCCCTATTTTAATCATGTACAATATGGTGAAAAATCACACACCTGTCACAAGACCTTCAGACCAGAGGGGCATTTCCAGCAGAATGGTTTCTGAATGGTGTCAGTCTCATGAACCCAGTGAACATTGCCCTCTGGTCTGAACAGTGTTTGATAGGTGTGTGATATGTCACTGGATTGCGCTCGAGTGCACTGCGGTGACATATCACACACTGTTCAGACCAGAGGGTTTTTCCAGCTGAATGGTGTCTGAACTGTGTCACCCTCATGTAAGGTACTTTAATTGGAAATGTAGAAACAAAATCATGACTGAGTTTGACTAGAATTCAGCATGGCTTCAACAAACGTGAATGATAGTTGGCAGTGAATAGTTACATTTTATTTAACAAATATATTGTGTTATATAATGAAATAGTTCAACAAAAACATGGTAATGACTTCAAATGAACTTCAGGCAAAAAGTAACAAAGAATTAAGCTATGGCACTCCCTGGGAAGTGCCCCCAAAGCTCCCCTGGTGTTCAAAGGAAAACCAAAGGAAAAGATTTTCAAAATTAAGAGGTATATCCTCACTGCAAGAAAAAGTCAAGCAACTGGTGAAAGTTGACATACAAGAGCCCACACCATACTCTACACTGAACTTGAGTCAAACTCCAAATTTCATTCTGAATTGTTGTAGCTCACCCCTTTGAAGCCTCAGGTTAATACCACTCAAGTATGTCAACACAATATACTTAGTTTCCATTGAGGCTTGAGTGGAGCATGCTGCATGTCAACTGGTAGCAGTTGCCTGACTTTTTCTTGTAGTGCCTGAGTATTTTGACCCTCTTTCTCTTATTGGCTTGACAAATAGTCATGAGTGAAAGTCGCTCCAATGGTTACAGACATGAGACTTATTTCTAATCCAGTCTGATCAGCTCTTTGTAGTTTAAGTTTGTAATTTTTTTCCCTTGTTGTAAAGCTTTGTACAGTCTCCTCCCAGATGTTTATAGCCATCTGTTTTGAGCTCCACAGCGGGAACCCAATAACTTCAAGTCACAAAACTTTGTGGAATGGTGGAAAATTTGTTTCAGAGAATGAATATGAAAAAATAATAATAAAAAACAAGATTTTAAAATTGGTGAAAAAGATAAAAGAAAATCAACTTTTTTTGAAAACTTTAATTTTTTGTTTGAGTGAAAAGTGGACACACAGAGGGCAAGTTTCGAATGTGAAAAGAATGATTATAAATGAAAAATATTGATCCAAAAAAAGTTTGAGCATGGTGTGTGGACACCCTGCAGTCAAAATCAGTAGAATGCAGTACCAGAATGCCACATTTCTTGATGAATGACCCCCTAGGCACCCTTTTTAAACCACCAAGAAGTCAATATCTCATACTATCACTTTGCAGATTTCATCTTTTCCTGAAAGAAATATTAGAGCCTGAGCTGTCAGTTTTTGTGATTTTCTCCTTTTTACTTTTTACAAATTGTATAATCTTTTTCATCATCATTATTTTTTCATATTCATTCTTTGAGACCAATTTTCCACCATTCCACCAACTCTTGTGACTTGAAATTTTTGGGTTCTAGGTGTGGAGCTCAGAACAGATGGCTATAAACATCTGAGAGGAGACTGTACATATAAGAGTAAGAGATTGTGATTTTTTGGACTCATTTTATTTTATTCTTTATGTATAAACATTCATCAAAAAAGGTAAAATAATTAATCACACAATCAAAGAAAAAAGAAAGAAGAATTGATGGTAGACATGCACATAACACAAGACATTTGGTGAGATAGAAACAGAGAAGCAGATGTATATATATAGAGCAATACACATATATATTGTCTTTTCAGAGAAGCTTGGAGCCCCTTGAGTGTTTTTATTTTTTTTATGCATTAAAACGTCTGTTTTATCTTCTTTTTTTCATGGATTCCATCATATGTATCCCACCTTTTGCTTCTCCCTCCCCGGACCCTATCCAGCGACCCAATGCCCAGCCATGAACTCCCCTCCCAGCCTGGTCAGATGTAGCAAGAGATGGCCAAGTAGATGGTGGGATGAGGGTAAAATTTGCACCCTGATTCCAAATATGAGCTTCATTTTGCCGGAGCTCTTCTTAGAAAGAAACTACGGCTGGATTGCAGTGTCAGTTCTTGGGTCGGATTGCATACCTGTCCAAACCCAAACCAGTAAAATCAAAGTTTTATATCCAAGGCATGGGATCTGCCTGGATCTGCCAAAACAGTTTTTTTGCAAATGGTTCTAAGCTTCTCTGAAAAGACAATAGCTGTAACTGAGTTGTTTGAAATCAAAGTTCAAACCCTGGGGTTTCAAAAGATACAATCAGATGGCCAAAATTGAATCATGTGGAGGGGTATTATGGGATGAACAAAATGAAGATGGAGACAAACCTTTTACCGCAGCTGAAATAAGCCTTAAGACCAGTAGTAGAAAATTTGCTCTTTGCCTGATTGAAAGTATGGCCCTTATCGTGCCAATTTTTCCAAACCGCTTTCCACATCCAGGCATTCCCCAGGGCTAGGAATGCCCATCCGACAGTTGCAATGACCTCAAAGAATCCAGTAAAAATTCTCCCCCTACCAAAGGCTGCAATCATGTTAATCAGCCCTGCCAAGCCCATGCTTGGGATGTCTATCAGCATTTAAAAACAAAATGCCACGTGGAAGCCTCCAAATACTGTAAAAATTGATTGGTTGAAATTGACAGCAATGGGAATAAGAATTTTTAGTGATCTTCAAGTAAACCAAGAAAAAATTTACAACACGACATACCGAAGTATAGTAGATAGAAGATGGACTAGGAATCAATGACCAGGGGTTGTTAGATTTGCCAAGTAGTTAAGGGAATTTCAAGGATGAGTGACTGACATGTTCTTTCGCATATGCATTGTACACATGCCTGATAAAATAATCAAACAGAAGAGTGTGTCCAAGTTGAATTAACATGTGCTTGGCTGATCAGAGAAGCTAGCTAGATGAATAACTTAAACAGAGAAGAAAAGATGTTATCTTACCTATACCACAGTAGCAAGGACAGAATTGTGATCACTGGATAAAAAAGCATAAACCTCATTTTAGAACAATCTGTTGCATTATTGTTTTGGTGTTTTGGTTGGCTTGGAGAGAGAAGAAACAGACCGGGGAGGCAAAAGATTCCCAAGCCTAGATCTGCTCCACCGTTTGAGGCCCCACTCTTCAGAAGAAATATTGAGGTGACCAATTTCCAAGCTAATACAATGACCATGAATAGTCATCCTCAATAAATTGTTGTCACGTCTGCTCGTTTTTTGATTGGGATTTCTTCTTCAATATGATGAAAGAATATAGGATAACTAATGATTTTCAAAATCTCTACTCTGTTTCTGCTCAGCTGTTTCTATTAAAAATTCTCTACTGCTGTGGTAAATTCCATCTCCTATCCTCTTGATTCTTGTTGTTTCTCTCTTCTTTGAATGATTCTGATTTTGTTTCCTCTAGTTTGGTTTTTGGTTTTGGAAATTTATTGCTCAGTCTTCTACACAAATTTATGTGACATGGTACCCAGAATTAAACAGAGCAGGGGTGTGTGTGTGGTATGTACTTTTGGAGAAAAAATATTCACAAACTGTTGAAACAATTGAAAAAAATACATTTATTCAAACAGGCCCAGGTTTGGGGTGAATCAGTTGATTTCTTTTATAGTTGATCTGTTCACCACACACATTCAGGATAAAAACATCTCCTTTGAGCAGAAACTAGTTCCCTAGTACACTGTTCTCAGGAAATGTTTTTTTTTTGGATTTGTTGGGTTTTTTGGGTTTTTTGGATATCTTTGGATTTTTTATGCTTCAGTTTTTCAGTTTTTTGTTTGGTTTTTTTATGAGAGGGGGGGGGGGGTTGTAACTTGTTTCTGATCAGACTTGGATGTTTTAGAATTTAATTTGTTGGTCATATGATCCTGACACTTCTGATTACATTGAATTCATCCAAAGGGACGATCTATCCTGTAGTTATCATGTCTGGGCAGGACAGCATCGTTGTATGCTCGAACATGCTCTGACATGGTAAGAGGTCTAGTTCCACATCGGTTGCAGCACTTCCTTTGTAGCCCATATTCTATTGGGGCCAAATTGCAGGTTTTACAAATCATTGAGTGGCTACCATCCTCAACACTGTTCCTACACTCCATGCATATGCGGTTTCCGTACACTGGCTCAAAGCTCCCCCCATCCCTGGGGCAGGGCTTCATTTGAAATGATGGGCTATCATGATGACAAGTATCACAGTGAAGATTTGCAGTATTCCCATTGACTTTCCAGCTCAAATCTGTGCGGATACAGACAGTTCTGTGCCATGTCAGACATTCATCTGGTGGGTCCATACTGACACAATTCTTCAGTGTTGCTAAGACTATCAGCCCAGGAAACCACATCTTGTACAGCAGTTGCACAGAATCAATTTGAGTGAGGTGGGATTTGAACAGGTGGCCTTGGAAGTGATTTGGTGGGCTGGATTGGGGCTGAAAGGTTCAAGTACCCAACTGGTAGAAAGGGGTATGGTGAAAGCAACCACTAAAGAGCTATTTAAAGTCTCAGACCCAGCCACAGATTGCTGGTAATCAGGTGCAAAGAAATATTGGAATGAAATCTTCAGTAGAATGCTGTTTCTGATAGCCAGTGTAACCTCCATCAAGCCCTTACAATGATGATCACTATCATTCAAACACATTCATGGTCAGATTGGTCAACTGCATTGTTTCCTGAGCCTTAATTCAAAGCAAAACCAAAAGAAAAGATTGTTAAAATCAAGAGGTACATCCTTATTATTTTGACCCTCTATCTCTTGTTGGCTTGAAAAATAGTCATGAGTGAATGTAGATCCAATGGTTACAGGCAGAAGACTGATTTCTAATCCAGTCTGATCAGCTCTTGTAAGTTTAACTATATGGTTCCTTTTTTCCCTTTTGTAATAAACCTTTGTACATCAAAGAGTAAGAGATTGGTTTTTTTTGGCACATTTTCTTTTTTTTATGTATGAACATTGAGCGAAAAAGTTAAAATAATGAATCACACAATCAAAGAAAAAAAGAAAGAAGTAGTAGTGGTAGACATGCACATGAAACAAGATATTTGGCAAGATAGAAAAGAGAAGCAGATGTATATATATATATACAGAGCAATACACATAAACTGAGTTGTTTGCAATCAAAGTTCAAACACTGGGATTTCAAAAGATACAAACAAAGGACAAAAAATGAATCATGTGGAGGGGTATTACAGGATGTAAAATGGAAGATGGAGACAAACCTTTTACTGCTGCTGAAATAAGCCTTGAGACCAGTAGTAGCAAATTTGCTCTTTGCCTGATCAAAAGTATGGCCCTTATCGTGCCAATGTTTCCAGACCGCTTTCCACATCCAGGCGTTCCCCAGGGCTATGATTGCCCATCCAATAGACGCAATGACCACAAAGACTCCAGTCACAATGCTCCCCCTACCAAAGGCTGCAATCATGTTAATCAGCCCTGCCAAGCCCATGCCTGGGATACCTATCAGAATGTAAAAACAAAATACCATGTGGAAGCCTCCAAATACTTTTAAATTGATTGGTTGACATCGACAGCAACGGGAAAAAGAAAATTTAGTGATCCTCAAGAAAACTGAAAAGAAAAAAAATGATCAACATACCAAAGTATAATAGATAGAAGATGGACTAGAAATCAAAGCCGAGGAATCGTTAGATTGGCCAGTAGTTGTTAAAATGTTCAGAAGAATGAGTTACTGACATGTTCTTTCGCATATGCATTGTACACGGGCCTGATGCAAATAAACAAACAGAAGAGTGTGTACAAGTTAAATTAAAATGTGCTTGGCTGATCGGAGAAGCTCTCTAGATAAATGAAGAAAAGAATATATCTTACTTATACCACAGTAGGAAGGACAGGATTGTGATTACTGGATAAAAAAACGCATAAATCTCAATTGAGAACAATCTGTTGCATTATTGTTTTGGTTGGCTTGGAGAGAGAAGAAACAGGCCAGGGAGGTAAAAGATTCTCAAGCCTAGATCCGCTCCACCGTTCAAGGCCCCACTGGTCAGAAGAAATATTGAGGTGACCAAGTTCCAAGCTAATACAATGACCAAGAATAGCCATCCTTGATAAATTCTTGTCATGTCTGCCCGTTTTTTGATTGGGATTTCTTCTTCAATATCATGAAAGAATATAGGATAACTAATGATTTTCAAAAGGACTTCATATCAACACAGCGCTAGTGATATTTGGAAAATAATTCAAAAGACTACAAACAATCGAGGCCAATTATTTTTGCCATAATTTTTGACGTGTTCTTCTCTTGAGCCTAGATTATGTTCACGCTTTTTGAGCTCAGCCTCTTTGTGTTTGATCTCAGCCAAGCAAGCCATCGTATCTTTGCTTTGGCCACTGACGACGGTGGTTGATGTTCCCGGTGTCAGATGGTGTGCTGACTCCTGTGCGGGATCAAGGTCGTATCCGGCGCCTTCATAGTAAGCTGCATGCAAGCCTAGTGCCCCCTGAATACTGGGGTCTTCAACTGGATTTCCATCTAGGCCGTGGTGCTTGGCAACTGGATCCTGGAATGGGTCGTCATGATGGCCTGTTGGTTTCATCCACCAATAAGTTGTGGTGTGTTATGATCATTAACCTCAACACTCACTCTCCAACTCTCAAAACAATCACCCTCAAATCTAGGATCACTTTGACTGAATCCTATTTGGTGAGAAAGAACTTGTCTTTCTACAATGCCTAACTCCAGTCAACTAATGTTATCCTTTCTCAGTCATGTGTTCTGTGTCTTCATCTCTAATCCGTTTCTGCTCAGCTGTTTCGATTAAAAATTCTCTGCTGCCGTGGTAAATTCCATCTCATATCCTCTTGATTCTTGTTGTTTCTCTCTTCTTTGATTGATTCTGATTTTGTTTCCTCTAGTTTGGTTTTTGGTTTTGGAAATTTATCGCTCAGACTTCTACACAAATTTATGTGGTGTGGTACCCAGAATTAAACAGAGCAGGGGTGTGTCATGTGTGGTATGTACTTTTGGAGAAAAAATACTCATGAACTGTTGAAAGAATTGAAAAAAAATACATTTATTCAGATTGAAGTGGTGTGGTACAAACACTGACAGGCCCAGGTTTGGGGTGAAGCAGTTGTTTTTTGCTTTTAGCTGGTCTGCTCACCACACACGTTCAGGATAAAAAAATCTCCTTTGAATAGAAACTAGTTCCCTAGTACACCGTTCTCAGGAAATGTTTTTTTTTGGTTTTTGGATTTTTTGGATTTTTTTTTGGGTTTTGGTTTTCTTTTTTATGCTTCAGTTTTTTTGTTTGAGTTTTTTATGAGAGGGGGGGGGGGGTTGTAACTTGTTTCTGATCAGACTTGGATGTTACAGAATTTAATTTGTTGTTCATATGATCCTGAGACTTCTGATGGCATTGAATTCATCCAAAGGGCCGATCTATTCTGTAGGTGTTTCTATCTCTGGGCAGGACATTGTCATCGTATATCTTAACAATCTCTGACATGGTGAGAGGTCTCCTTCCACATTGGTCGCAGGCCTTCCTTTGTAGGGTATATTCTATTGGGGACAAATTGCAGGTTTTGCAAATCATTGAGTGGGCACCTTTCTCAACCCTGTAACCACAGTACGCACATTGGCGGTTGCCATACATTGGCTCCAGGATGCCCCCATCCCTGGGGCAGGGCTTCCGTTGAAATGATGGGCTATCATGATGACAAGTATCACAGTGAAGATTTGCAGTATTCCCATTGACTTTCCAGCTCAAATCTGTTCGGACACAGACAGTTCTGTGCCATGTCAGACATTCATCTGGTGGCTCCACACCGGCACAATGTTTCAGTGTTGCTAAGACTATCAGCCCAACCAATCGCATCTTGTACAGTAGTTGCACAGAATCAATGTGAGTGAGGTGGGATTTGAACAGGTGACCTTGGGAGTGATTTGGTGTGCTGGATTGGGGCTGAAAGGTTCAAGTACCCAACTGGTAGAAAGGGGTATGGTGAAAGCAACCACCAAAGCGCTATTTAAAGTCTCAGACCCAGCCACAGGTTGCTGGTAATCAGGTGCAAAGAAACATTGGAATGAAATCTTCAGTAGAATTCTGATTCTGATAGCCAGTGTAACCTCCATCAAGCCCTTACAATGATGATCACTGTCATTCAAACACATTCATGGTCAGATTGGTCAACCGCATTGTTTCCTGAGCCTTAAATTCAAAGGAAAACCAAAAGAAAAGATTGTCAAAATCAAGAGGTATATCCTTAGTATTTTGACCCTCTTTCTCTTGTTGGCTTGAAAAATAGTCATGAGTGAATGTAGATCCAATGGTTACAGACATAAGACTTATTTCTAATCCAGTCTGATCAGCTCTTTGTAGTTTAGCATTATGGTTCCTTTTTCCCCTTTTGTTATAAAGCTTTGTACATCAAAGAGTAAGAGACTGGGTTTTTTTCGGCTCATTTTCTTTGTTTTTATGTATAAACATTGAGCAAAAAAGGTAAAATAATCAATCACACAATCAAAGAAAAAAAAGAAGAAGTAGTGGTAGACATGCACATGAAACAAGACATTTGGTGAGATAGAAACAGAGAAGCAGATGTATATATATAGAGCGATACACATATGTAGATGTAACTGAGTCGTTTGCAATCGAAGTTCAAACCCTGGGATTTCAAACGATACAAACAAACGGTCAAAAATAAATCACATGGAGGGGTAATATGGGACAAACGAAAGGAAGATGGGGACGAACCTTTTACCGCTACCGAAGTAAGCCTTAAGACCAGTAGTAGCAAATTCGCTTTTTGCCTGGTCGAAAGTATGGCCCTTATCGTGCCAATGTTTCCAGACCGCTTTCCACATCCAGGCATTCCCCAGGGCTAGGATCGCCCATCCGACAGTCGCAATGACCGCAAACACTCCAGTCACAATGCTCCCCCTACCGAAGGCTGCAATCATGTTGATCAGCCCTGCCGAGCCCGTGCCTGGGATACCTATCAGCATGTAAAAACAAAACGCCACGTGGAAGCCTCCAAATACTTTGAAAATCGATTGGTTGACATCGACAGCAACAGGAACAAGAAAATTTAGTGATCTTCAAGTAAACCGAGAAGAAAACAAAAATGAACAACATACCAAAGTATAATAGATAGAAGATGGACTAGAAATCAAAGCCAAGGAATCGTTAGATTGGCCAGTAGTTGTTAAAATGTTCAGAAGAATGAGTTACTGACATGTTCTTTCGCATATGCATTGTACACGGGCCTGATGCAAATAATCAAACAGAAGAGTGTGTCCAAGTTAAATTAAAATGTGCTTGGCTGATCGGAGAAGCTCTCTAGATAAACGAAGAAAAGAGGATATCTTACCTGTACCACAGTAGGAAGGACAGGATTGTGATGACTGGATAAAAAATAAAGCATAAACCTCAATTGAGAACGATCTGTCGCATTATCGTTTTGGTTGGCTTGGAGAGAGAGGAAACGGACCGGGGAGGTAGAAGATTCCCGAGCCTAGATCCGCTCCACCGTTCGAGGCCCCACTGGTCAGAAGAAAGATTGAGGTGACCAAGTTCCAAGCTAATACAATGACCAAAAATAGCCATCCTCGATAAATTGTTGTCACGTCTGCCCGTTTCTCGATCGGGATCTCTTCTTCAATATCATGAAAAAATATAGGATAACTAATGATTTTCAAAAGGACTTCATATCAACACAGTGCTAGTGATATTTGGAAAAATAATTCAAAAGACTACGGACAATCGAGGCCAGTTATTTTTGCCGTAGTTTTTGACGTGTTCTTCTCTTGAGCCTAGATTACGTTCGCGCTGTTCGAGCTCAGCCTCCTTGCGTTTGATCTCAGCCAAGCGAGCCGCAGTATCGTCGCTTCGGCCACTGACGACGGTAGTTGATGTTCCCGGTGTCGGATGGTGTGCTGACTCCTGGGCGGGATCGAGATCGTATCCGGCGCTTTCCTGGTACGCTGCATGCGAGCCTAGCGCCCCCTGAATACTGGGGTCTTCAAACGGATTTCCATCTAAGCCATGGTGCTCGGCTGCTGGATCCTGGAATGGGTTGTCATGATGGCCTGTTGGTTTCATCCACCGATAAGGTGCGGTGCGTTATGATCATTAACAGAAATCAAGAGACACGTGTCAGTCATATCTCTACAATGAAATAATGTTATTCTTCTTTAAATGAACTCTAATCGGATTGAGCAATTGATATTGTCACAAGCGGCCTGAATAGGAAGTGCTGACCTGCCATCTGTCAATAAAATCCGATAGTGTTAATTCAGAGATAAGAAAAACGAGGTTTTCAGGAGCGCAGTTGGTATGTTTTTTGATTGATGATGATTGGTATATTTCAGCTGGGGAAGGTCTTGATGACGATTTTTCCGAGAATCCAAGTATCTATCGTCTGGTAGTTGTTGTTGTTTTTTTTTTTACTTGAGGTTGCTCGCCAGTTTCTTGGTTGTTTTCTGTTCTGTTGAGGGTGAAGTGTGGTTGAAGTGGGAGATGTTGGGCCGGCCAAGTTGGAAGGTCTCCTGGGTTGGGCCATGTGTTACAAGTAGAGTGTCCACACGGCTCTCGGCATAGCACAGCACAGCCACGCATACATGCTCCGGTTCAAACACTCATCTCGGTCACACCCTCCAAGGTTTTGTTGGTCGGATTAAGGGTGCAAAGGGCAGGATACATATAACTGACTCAGGGTACAACAGATCACTTTGGCTCAAACAAAAACATCCAGTCACGCAAATTTTAAGAACAAGATCAAATCAAGCATCCTTACATCCCCTCATCATCTGATTTGGGCATATCACTCGGTCACAAGCAGTCTGCCAAGTAAACAGGCAGTGTGTAAGCCAAGTATTCTATCACAGTCAGAAATTGTGTACTTTCTTCTACTTTTCTTAGGGCTCTCAGTACAAAAAACCAACAGCAAACTTTTTTTTAGAAAAAAAATTATCTAGATAATTCATCTTGAGCTTGGATACAGAATAGTTGAGTAATGCAGTATTGGGGTTCACGATTGAAATTTGTCAATTTTTAGAGCCCATTTTAAGCCCTTTATGAACAATGTTTTCAAAAATTTACAAGGTGAGCAGGGGGGTTTCTGGTCAATCCACACAACTTTTTAATTTTTGAAAAAAGTGTCAGATAAAACAAATGAGAATGGGCTTTATCATTTGATAAATTTTAATCATGAGCCCTGCTGATATCAGAGGTTGGTAGGGTTATCTGGCTGCAAATAGAAGTATTAATTGGCTTACAAAATTATAAAGAAACCCAACTTTGAATTTGAAAAAAGAGAGATATAAAGATGATCCAGATCAAGGGTCTTGGCTAATTAATGACTCCCTAAAATTGGAGGTTTGACTCCCAAATTTCGGGGACGTTGGGAGGACTGCCTGGAGACCAACCCAGGACGTCCTCTCCCCTGATTTCCCCCCCCCCCCAAAGGTTTGGCAGTCAATCCTCCAAATTGGGGTTGGGAGTCGGACCCCCCACAAAATTTAATTAACAAACCTAAAACCCCCGGAGGGGTTTGGAGTTGATGCTTCACAACCAACCAGGGTTTTGGGGGTTGATGAACCCCAAAGAAGTGGCTCTCAGTTGTTGAGAGTGTATACTCTCAATGGGCTACAGGCACCCTCTGGGGCTGTTGAGAGCACACTCTTGACCACCAGGAATCCTCCTGGCTGTCAAGGGTGTACTCTCAGAAGCTGGGGGAGGAATCCCATTGGCCATTGAGAGTATACACTCTCAACAACCAAGAGGAACCTTCTTGGCCTTTGAGGGTATACACCTTGGTTGGTTTTGGAGCATCAACTCCAAACCTCTCTGGGGGTTTCAGTTTATTTTTATCAAATTTTGTGGGGATCTGACTCCCAATCCCACTGAGACTTTTGGAGGATCAACTCCCAAACCTTTGGAGGAAGAAAAAATAAATTAGGGGTGGGGGTGGGGGGAGGATGTCCTGGGTTGGTCTTCAGACAGTCCTCCCAATGTCCCTAAAATTTGGGAGTACATAGATCCTCCAATCTTTAGGGAGTTGTTTAGGTAAGACCCCAGAGCAATCGTGGACCCAGAAAGCCACCTCTGGCCTTGCAGTCAACAGACCCATTGACATTCTCATTTTCTGACTCACTTGAAGTTGAGACTAGATATTCATTTGGCAATCCAAATTCAAGAACGTTTTTTTTTTGTTTGGCTGAGACCTGTTAAGAAAATCCCACCCAAGATTGCCATGAACATATCCCACCAAATCACAATGTCACTATATACCACACCTAAATAGATATTCTCTCTAGTACTACCACAGTTGTCACTGGCTTAAGCTTCTGTGAATGTGATCCCCATGATCACCTCATCAATTTTCCAGAATAGTTTGTAAATTCAGGAACATCATGACCCTGTATTTTTTTAAAAAAAAAAAAAAAAAAACAGTGCATGTGCATGGTATAAGGATAAGGCATAATCTCAGTGAACAAGAAGAATCCAGATTGTATCAAAAGTTTATGTACTCTGCTGTGATACTGCACATACAACAGCAGTACACACTGGACACTGGTGGTGATCCCCATCCATTGTATCAACAACATATGTTGAGTTGACAGTTGGGCTCCAGGGGGCACTAGAGATCTCCCTCTCCTCTCTCTGCTATGAGGAAGCATCTAGCTGATCAATCCAGCTCACTCATCCTGCCCCCCAAAAAAATTGCACCCAGCTCATCCTGGGATCACCCATTCCAATCTCAATGAGCCTTGTTGTCCACTGCTTTGAAACAAACAATGCATCCCATAATTGGGGCTGCAGTCGTGTAATTCTTCGCAAGAAATAGGCCATTTTTTTGCTAACCATTGCTGGGTATTTTTGCATGTCATGGATGTTGTACTGACAAGTTGGTCTAAGGTTCTTGGTTGAGAACTAATCTGAGGATTTGGGAACGACTGAATCCTTCGAGTTCCACTGTTTTTGTTGCTGAATGCTCGTCTGAACCTGATATTCCAAAGTATAAAAGGAAAGGTGATTGATGAGCGTCAGCGAGTGATGATATATGTTGATTGAGTGTATATATATTGTTGCTCTACAGCGAATTGTGAAGCAGAAGAGAGTCGCCAAAAGAAGAGAGAAGAAGCAGGAGAGTTTGCGCACCATCGTCAGTAGCCTCCTCGGACGTCCAGAAGGTGAGCGTAGGTTTAGAGTGCTCTTGGCTGTAGACTAGGGTGATGTCTACTTTGGGGTTCGACCATACCAGCGGCCCAAGACATGATTTGACAAATTCATCGATCCCGCTGAACCCACAATTCACGTGCCAAAGAAGTGATGGATGAGTCAGCTTTCCGGTTTTTCTGATTGATTTATTGGGAAGAGAGGATACCTGGTTGAGTCTTCTTTTGTCGATGTCTTTTGAGGCTCTGTTGTGCCCTCATTTGATGCTGATGATGATGATGCTGATGCTGATGATGATGATGGGATAGGATTTGATTGAGGAGGATGAGATGAAGGCAGTGAGAAGAGGATCTTTTTCAAGCGGCCGTTCCATCTGAGCGAGAGGTCCAAATGATCGACGAGCTCGATCTTCTGAGATTGGGTTGATCCGCCGTTCAACTTGGCCTGTTTCAATGCGAGCATGATATGTTTCTTGCCCCTCTTGCGCTCGAACTGGAACTTCGGGTCCGGTTCGAAGTCTTTCCTTCTCCTGCGTCTTGAGACCGAATCTGTTGGCATGCTGCTATTGCTGATGGAGGCGATCGCCTTGGATTGTTCATTCTCTCCCGCTTTCTGCTGATCTCGGTAGTTCGAGGGCAGTTGGATCGCTTCGAGCTCTACCAAGGAGAGCGATCGCTGCTGGAGATCTTGAACTAGGTCTTTGAACTTCTTTCCGCTCGTGCTTGGTGGGGATGGCTTGATGGGTGATGGTGCTTGGTGTTTTGGAGTGGCATGTTGGACGGTCTGTTGGTTGAGTTGGTGGGTTGAGGAGTGGTATCGCGAGCGAAGGAAGGAGAGTGGTTTTGCTGGTGTTGATGAGTGGTGGAGGTGATGGATGGATACTCTGAGGAGTGAGTTCATCTTCGGTGGTCCTGCTCGTTCCTCTTTCCTCTCTGGAGTTGAAGATGATCTGAATCTACACAGACCCCCTGTGGGCTTCCATTATCACTGAGAGGGGGGGGCTTAACTTTTCTGAATGAGCCCACAAGGGAAATTCGAGAATTTCCACATAATCTGACCAAGAACTTCACAAGGTGCGTATCGTATACTTTATCATCAGGATATCACTGTCGCTTACTGACTCCAACCTGCTTTCTGAACTAGGGAGATGTGCTTCTACCAGGAATAAATGGGAAACCTCTTCACAAACGAACGGAACAATCATTAGAATACATATCAAATCGAACAGGAGGAAGTCGTCCCCACGGGTCAGATTGACTGCCGAAGAACGGATGATATGATCAGTAGCTTCTTCAAATGTAACCTCTCTCAGCCGATCCATCAGCTCATCAGACCAAGACCAAGACCCAAACGAATCCTACAAAGACCTTGGACGAAATACAATCTGAATCCTCACCAAATCTCTCAACTACAACAACAGGGCAGTTTACCCAAGATGGAGAAGCGGATCAGATCGTCTGACTCCAATCGATCAATCAACCCTCCCAATGACTTCGAAATCACCTTTCTTGGTACCTCTGCTGGTAAAATATAACCTTTGATCAATTTTCTTTCTTTTTTTTTTTTTTTCTCTTACAACAAAGTCTGAAAATTGGTCGATTTCAGGTAAACCAACTATTCAACGCAATCCATCGTCCTTGGCACTACGGATGGATGGGCAAATGTAAGCTCCCAGCTCCAAACATTCACTCCAGCCAGGATATCAACCCTCACCAAACGCTGAAAATACAACTTTACAGCTGGATGTTCGACTGTGGAGAAGCAACGACCCATCAGATCATGCGCACCAATCTCAAACCGAGCAACGTCACCAAGATCTTTATCACCCATCTTCATGGTCCGTCCCATCACCTATCTACAATCTTCCTCAGAGAAAACTCAGACTGATTCCTGTCTATCATACACACGGTTCTTATTACTTGATGCTCAAAATCCGCCAGGCGATCATGTTTTGGGATTGATTAGCTTTCTATCTCATATTGGCGATCGAGCAGATGCCGATTTGACCAGCAAGAACCAGCACCCTTTTTGCGTAAGGTGTTGTATTTCCTCGTCCCTCTTTCTCATCTTCCGCAATCAAAAAAAAAAACAAGGCCAAGTTGCGCGGGATTTTTGTTTACCTTCGACTCCGGAATCATGAACACAGGATCCCAGCGAGGTAGTAGAGATCTTTGGCCCCTCGGGGATCCGAGAATTCGTACGATCGACTCTTCGGTTAACGAAAACGCATTCGCTGTTGAAAATCAAAGTGAATGAACTGTTACGATATTCGAAAGATCAAGTCTATACGCCCTCCCTCAGTAACCCAACTGGATCAGGTCGCCTGTGGCACAACGAAATCCTAGGAGAAGATATCTGGTCTGATCAGAACGGGCTTTGGAAAGACGTGATCCCGATCAACCAATGTGGCGTAAGTGTCAGTGCAGCACCCATCCAACACACCAGTAAGCGATTTCTGATCCTCTTCTCTTACTCCTTTTAATCACTCATTTGTTTTTGGATCGGTCGCAGTCGACTGTGTAGGCTATCTCCTCACCGAAGCTAATCGGAGAGAAAAGTTTGACATGGTCAAACTCAAGCCGATTCTCGAACAACATGCAGATGAAATCAAGCAAATGGGTTTCAAAGGTCCGTTTTTCTTCTTTTTTTTTCTCGTATTGACGTTCTGATCCTTATCTTTGAGTGTTTCTCTGCCACAGTCTTGCCAGCGATCCTAAGCCAACTTGAGAAGACTCGAAAGCCGATCAGTTTTTCGACCGGCGCGACACTCCAACCACCCAGGCTTTCGATTCGAGGTCGCCGGGTGATGATCCTGGGGGACACCTGTGATCCAAGCGCGATGGTCAGCTTGGTCGACCAGGATCCTGAGTTCCAGTCGATCGACTTACTGGTCCATGAATCCACAGGCACCGTTGTGCCCGACGCCCATGAGCGAAAACAAGAGGACTGCCAATCGGAGTCTCAAGTGGCAAGCAAGATGCGTGAACGAGGCCATTCGACCTCATTCATGGCCGGCCAATTCGCCCATCGGGTCCGAGCCACCCGTCTAGTCCTGAACCATCTCGGGGGCAAATTCCCTGCACCCCAAGCGGCCCTCTGTCCCAGCAAAGCCTTCCCACCCTTCCCTTCTTCTTCTTCTTCCTCTCCCTCCTCATCTGTCTGTGCTCAATCATCAATCATCGAATATCAGAATGCAGTCAAAATGGTCCATGCTGAGGTGTGGAAGAAGTTCGAAGAGATCGAGCCCGGCCGACGGGCGAAGATCGTCGACGAACTCGGCTGGTTGAAAGCCGTCGAGAACGACGCCCTTCAGGGCTGGCGTACCGCCGCTCGAAATCGGACCCCTCCTCAACCTCGGGCCTCTAATCTTCCGGCCCAGCCCCGCGTTTCCGTCGCTTATGACTTCTTGCAATTTAAAGTTCCGAGACCTGATCCGCATTCTTGACTTCTTTTGTCGAGCTAGCTTTTTTGGGAATCCCAATCTTGGCTCTTCCTTTCTTTTCTTGGCCCGGATTCTCTTGTTCTTTTTTTTTTTTTTTTTTCTATCCTGCCCATTGTTTTCGGGTTTGTTCTGTTCCGTTCCGGATTATATGTGCTCTAGGGATTTCCTTGATCGAACTTGTTTAATTGATCAAGCAAATGAAGATTCTAAAAAAAAGAAACCCTTGTAACTTGGAAAATGCGAACTAGTATGCAGTTTGAGGAGATGATGTCATGACAACGTGGCCGAGCGGTTAAGGCGATTGACTAGAATGTGCCAATTCTAAGACTCTTGTCTACCATCAATTGGGATTTTCCCGCGTAGGTTCAAATCCTGCCGTTGTCGCGACACTTTTTCTTGGCTTCACTTGCTGCTGTTTTTTTTTTTTTTGGTTTCATGTGGAGTGGAAATCGAAGTGTTTTTGTGTTTGCATATCGGAGGACTTCAACATAAACTTTCTACATGGCTATTGTGCCATCTTCAGGTCTGATTTTTTTCTGCGAACTCAATGGTAGATGAAATATGAGAAATTATTACACAGAGACTTCGTGGCCACAACAAGTCTTGTCATCTTCCAGCAGCCACGGTATGAATCCCCAACCAGTTCTTCCCCAACCATTCCTCCTTGGTTCCAGTTCTCACTCATATATTGATTTCTCCAGGAATGTCTTGGATTTCAATTTCTCAAAGGAGAGGACATCATAATGATGGAAAGGCAAGTGTGCTCTTGAGAATCGACAAATCAATGCAAGATCGGACAGATGAATTCAAAACAACTCAAGGACCGTGTAGCTATTGTCTGAGATTGAGAAGACAACTTTCTAGAGTCTAATAATGAACATCATATTGAGGGGTTTGTATAACATGAGATTATTTTTTTTACTGAGTTGGTTTCCTGCCATACTGTTTTAATTCGAAAGTTTCTGCAACTAGATTGAGGTAGAAATCACGATCAAAGTGTCTGGGAGTGACGCGAGGAGAGAAATCTTCTGAAGTGAGGAAGAACAAGGGAGGCTCCAGATTGTTGCTAGAATTCAGGTTAGTAGAGCAGAGATCTTCGTACCAATATGAGATCAACTTGATCGCCGCCTCGAAACAGTCTTTCATGTCCAGTCTTTTCTTCCGGACCAACAGATTGATGAGATACTTTTGGACCGGACTGCGGAAGAATTTGGGGGGATCTTTGGGCGGATATTCGCTAGCGACCCAGCCCATCAATGGGAATCTCAGATAGGAGCGTTCGAAGAGGAGGGTCCAAAACCAATCGACTAGTTGGTTATGCGCATTGAGCTTGCCGAGGATCTTTCGATCAGCGTTGTTGAAGTTGAGCCAATTGTGGTACATCGTCATGGCCCTCAGAAGCCGGAGGATTCGCGGCTCGAGGTGTTTGCGCAAGGGCACCAAGGATTTGTCGGGACTGCAGAGTCTGATCAAGACCTTGAAGAAGTCCTGCCGGCCGAAGATCGCTTGTCTCCGGGTGAAGGTGATCGGCAAGCTCGCCATCGTCTCGCTCTGTGCATCCTTCAGAAACGTGTTTGCATGGCTCCGGATCTCGTCCATTTTCTCCGACAGCTGCCGCTTGAACTCGGCGTTCTTCACCCCATCTGCCGGGTCCTGATGGCTTAATAATTTACGCGCCGCACGCCGTTCAATGCTGATGATCCAATCTTCCTCTCGTCGAGCTATATCCGCTTGCGTAGTCACTCTACTATCCATCAGTCTCCCTCGTTCTTCCTGCTGGGCCATTCTCCTGCTCTTTTGCGTCGGTTCAGTGGTCGATTGATGATCAACTTCTTCTTCCTCTTCGTCTTCTTCTTCTTCGGCTCCGAGTCGTTTCCTCGGTGGAGCAGAGCTAGGTCTTTTGACCCGAGTATTAGAATGCTGATCTAGATAATAATGATGATCAATCAATCAGACCTGAGAATCAGTAACGCATCATGCAGCCAAATCGAAATCAAAGTAGATCCAACTGCGTCTGATCACCTTTGAGCTCATTACTGACAATGAGGGGGCTTGAGGCGGTGATTGGTCCAGTGCTCCCGATCCTTCCCAAGCTTTCTTCTTGATTATTTTCAGACAACAATCTTTCCATCCAATCATGAAAGTCGAGTCCTAGAAAAACGAAAGAGAAAGAAAAGAAAAGGGTCGATTAATGATGAGCTGCAGACCTGCTGAGGGGAGGAAGTGAGGTATGAAGGAGCTTGGATAATCCACCATCTGGATCGACAGAGGGTAAGTGTTGTTGATGAGTAGTACTAGTCAAGAAATCATCGGCGAATTCTTGAGCGAATCCTCTGTTGTGGGGATTGACTGGCTCAGTATTGAGAGGTGGCAGTTGGAGCTCCTGGAATACATCTGACTGGCCAATATCCAATGGCGGCTCGAAATACAGACAAGGAGGGCTCGCTGATTGTAGTCCAGCTCGTGGGGTCCATGGTGGAGTTGTTTGGACATATCCTAGCAGCAGCAAGTCCAGTGCGATAACCTCAAGACGCATCAATCGGTTGCACCATCCCTCGACCATTGTCCTGTCAATAAGGGTTAAGTCTTGAGGTAATTGGAAGATTATTTTCGTTTTTGCTTTTTTCTTTCCAACCTGTTAATATCTTGATTTGTTTTTAATCCAGCTGATGGGCGCGAGATGCTCACTGGGACATGACTGTAGGATCCGGTTTTTCCGGGGATAAAGGTTAATAATATGCGTAAGTAGAGATCCAAGTTTATGATGAAGAATGTCTTTGAAATGGAGATAGACATCAAGATGGTTTCAAGTGAGGTATCGATTGATTGCTGAGACTGATGAGAGCAGTCTCAAGAAGTCCTTATCGTGTATAAGTCCAAAGAACTTTGTCAATAGCTCCCTGAGATGATGGGCAGAGGTTTTGCCGTCGATTTTTCTTGCAAGTTTGACTGGCTTTTTTTCTGTATAAGAACAAACAAACACTTCGAAATGTGTCAGAGAAAGTTTTCCCTGCTCAAGAAAAGGATCTTCGCGGAGTTGTGGTCCGCTTGTTAAGGTTTCGTAGATGTGGGATGCTTTAAGGTTTTTGAGCGTTTGGATGTGTGGAGTTAGTTGGATGAGGCTGAATTGCTATGAAGAGCGTTGTCTCCCTTGAGGCTTTGGACTGTTTAAGCTTGGAGTTGATCAGTTGAAGTACATAGAGCTGGGACAGTTTGGAAGATGGGTGAAGCTGACTTTCGTGAGTTGTGGTTTTGCAATGAGCAGAAAACAGTGCTTTGTCTTCAACAGGAGACTGTGAGGTATGGTCATCAAGAAGGAGAGAGGAATGGCGGCAATTGGGGGTGGATGTATGCGGGTTAATCCATGACGTATGCAGTTGTTTTCTTTTCTCTCTCCTTTTGACGCGTCGACTTCAGACTGTTGGCCAGTTTCAACCAAAAAAAAAAAAAAAACTAAAAACTAAGATGAAGGAGTTCAGGATACCGGAACTCAGAGCATTTGACCATCAACTGCTATCAACCCAACCACTCAAACCACTCAAACAGCATGACTACCAACTATCAATCCATCTACCACCAATCTCAACAACCAGCAAACAACAACAACAAGAACAACAACAAGAACACGATCTTTGGAGCGATTTATATCAGGAGCTATCAGTCAGTTTTTAGATCACTCTGATTACCATCCTACTCCTCCAGCTAAACCTGATGAATATGTAATTACCCTCTCTAGGAATCAACAGGATCTACCCAGAAACATTTGATCTACAGCTGGGACACCTTCAATCGGCCGATCTGCTCTCAATCATCCCTAAGATATCAAACCCCCTACCCTTTGGAAGAATCCATCCAAGTCTGGGAGGCCATCCTATCCGAAACTCATCCAAACCTGTCAGTATCCCCAATATAATCTTATCATAAAGATACATAGAACCATACTTATCCCATCTGGTCCAACCAGTTCATCTCCGATCGACCGTACAACGTTTATCACCCATTTCTTCCGTCGATCGATCGGATTCAAGACCCCCACACCAACATCCGATCCTCATGCTCTGAAGCCCAGACCAGAGCACAACTCGTATCCAAGAATTTATGGCCAAACTGATCAGACCACCCGTTCACTCTATGAGCTCTCGGATTCCGCCTTCGCCAACCTGTGCTCGATCGAGAACTTCATCAAACACACCCATCATCCCTATCACCCTCATCAGTCCTTATGCTCTGGTCTGGCCGTCCTAGTAGATTGGATCCGGACCGAAATCATGGACTGTTTCGAGCACGAATCCGCACTCCAATCGGGATTACTGGCCATCAGTATGATGGTCGAGCCACTCTTCGACCTCCTCGGAGCACTCGCCAACCTCGTCCAGAGCTGTCAAGAAGAACAAGGAACCAGACAACAGGAAGATGTAGTCTATCAACATCTAGACCTCCACATTCACCAATGCTCCTCAAACTTAATCCAGGCCGTCTTCAGTTGGCTGCTAGACAGGGTTTGTGCGGCCCTCCTACTCTGTTGGCAGACTTGGCTGGGCATCGATCTGGGCGGCCAACGCACAATATGGCCGGACGAAAAGGACCAGTTGTACCAATCCCTCTGGAAGATTTACGGCATTCAATCAGATCCTCGGCCACCAATAGATCCTCATCTTGAACTGACTGGCGACGATTTGGATGAAACTGGTACCAGGACAGCCTCATCATATTGCGTTTTGAGTAAACTCCATTCTCTCTCCCCTCCCACCTTATGCTGAGATTTTCCCTCATCAGGAATCATTCGGTAACTAATACAGTTTGATTTGGCTCTCTTCTCATTCTTCTTTGTAACTTCACTCAGTTCCATCCTGATCGTGTCTCAAGCTTCTTTCCGATCACTCTGGCCGAGTCGATTTTCAAGGCGGGCGTATCGTTGAGAATCTTGCGACGAGCCAATCCATTTCATCCGATCTGTCTCTCCTATCCCGTCGAAGAGCATGGCCAATCTCGGTGGGTGTGGACCCCACAGGATCTGGAAAAGTACTTTGTCTCACTGCTCTTCCATCAAGAAAGCTTTGCGGAATGGCTGATGAACTTGTTCCTACTCATGATCTTGAATTGGATCCCAACTTATGTACTATACACACAGAGTCCATCAGGCAGCCAGCGCACAGAGGCACGACATGAAGCTCCAAATATCTGCCTGGAGACATGGCACCAAGCGTTCAGATGATCCATCGATGGCGATCCCAAGAGCCAAGCAAGCATCATCCACCAGACTGCAGGATATTGAACAAGGGCTTGAGATCGAAGATTTCCTCAAGGTTATTAGCGCCGGCTTGAAGCCCCATGAGACCCAAGTGGGAGGATCAAGACACATCGATGAGCGTCAGAGAGGCTTGATCGAGAGCCTTGAAGAGCGTCTAAGAGGTTGCAAGATCGAGAGGTCTGGCCTGCTCCAACCCATGGAAATCCCCTCGTTAGATATCCTGACTGAGGTCACAGTGCTGGAGTCACTCCGATGTCGGGCACTGGAGATCGACCGATGTTTGCTCTCATTCTTTCTGGTCGATCTCGAGTTTCTCGACCATCTCAAGATCCTCAACCAGTTCCTTTTCTGTAATGACATGATGTTCAATGAGCGGTTGACGAATGCCCTGTTCAGTCGCGGTGAAGGCTCGTCACAGCGGAGTAGTCGACGACCGGTCGGAGTGAGTGAACGATTGCTTCGACGAGGCAGCTGGCCGCCCGGCGGTTTCGATCTGTCGTTTGCGCTACGGACGGTGATCCTAGACTCGGTTGCGCCGGACCAACGCCCGATGGGGTACCGGTCGAGCAGCGCCTGGGAGACACTGGAGGACCGACTGTCGTTTGCGATCCGGCCGGGGATCGAGGACTCGGCGGGGGAGAGGGCGTACAGGGCGGAGACTATCGACGGCTTCGGCTTCTTGATGATCGACTTCAAGCCCCCCGAGGCGCTCCGCTCGGTGCTCGGAGCCGACGTGTTGGAACAGTATCGGATCATCAATACGTATCTGATGAAGCTCTTAAGGCTTCAGGCGATGATGAAAGCCAACTGGCGGCTTCTTCGTCCTAGACGCCAGCACGACCAGCTCCCTCCCACCCGGACCAGCAGGGACCGACGATACATCCAAGCCGTCGACCATCTCGCCTCGCATTCCCAACGCTTACTCGACGGCCTGGTCTCATACACATGGGAGGTGGCTATCGGGAGTACCTGGGCGGGGTTTATGGGACAAGTCGAGCGGGTCAAAGCGGTCATCGAAGGCCGGGAAGCGCTCGCGGACTCTCCTTATTCTTGTGGTGGTCCTGAAGAGCTGCAAGGCTCACAGATGATCGAGTCGGTCGAACAGCTCAATCGGCTCCACAGACTCACTCTGACGGAGATCATGAGTCGGCTGTTCCTTCGCTCCAAACAGGAGGGATATCTCAACTTGCTCAGCCGGTCGATCTTCGAGACGATCATCCAACTCTCGATCCATCTCCAAGATCATTACTCCTCTCTTCCTAATCATCCTATACAACAAGAAGAAGAAGAGGAGCAGGAGGAAGCACAGGCTCAGGAAAAAAGACGGATCGAGGTGGTCGATAGGATCGAGACTCAACAATTCACGGGGACCCAGAAATTGCTCAAGGCCTTGGATCTGCTCCATCGTAGATCTGTCGACCTTAATCTTCATTCTTCGGCCCTTGTTGATCCTGCTCCTGGCAGGAAGATCGGCTTCCTTATTCAGCTGATCTCTCGCTTGGACTTTAATTCCTTTTTCTACAAGTCCGATTCGCTTTCTTCTTCTCTCTCTTCGTAGATATTGTGTTTCTTCGTGTTTGTGTTTTTGTTTTTATTCCTGTTTTTAACTTTTTGTTGTTAGTTGCCTCACCACCCCCTCCCTTTTCTCTCTCTTCGGTTTAGTTGTATTGAAATACACCGCCTCTTTGTGACTTTGTTGCTTGATCATTCAGTGCAACAAGATTTATTCAGAAGGAGATGTGTGATCTTTGGTTCTAGGAAAACGCTCTTGAGCGCCCATGTACTTTTCTCGTTTTTTCAAGTAAATGTGGAGTGTTCTTTGTGTGAAGTGTTAACCGAATCTATTTGGGAATATGTATCCTTGGGCGGGAGGGTGTGTATCGATGCGATTCGTGAATGAGGAGAGGTTGTGTGTTTATGTTTATTTTTCTTCTTTATTTGGCTATTGTATCATCAAAGGGAGGAAATTCAAGGAAGGATATTCTGAGCTTCCTTCTTACAATCAATTTTCAGAGAAGCTTATATCTTTCTCGAGTTCTCCAGTTATCATTATCATTATCAGTCTGGACGGACAATCCCTACAGTACAACAGAGAACCAGACCAGCAAAGATTCAAATGACTCCAAGTGTCCAATCCATCCCGAATGCTGAGTTCCATCACCACTTCCACTCCCTTATCGGTGGGTACATATTTAAACTTTGAAGAATTGTATGTAGAGAGGAGAGAGAGAGATCGAGAAGCTGACTGACTTGCAAGTTCCCGCCGCTTTCCTCTTCCCTTCTTTCGGAAATTCCCACCCCACTCGACTTGATCATGACCTTGAATGAATTGGATATCGAAGAGTTGTCGAGCGAGGCACTGGGAAGCTCGGTCGTCGCCGTCTCCGATCAATGGTTCGCACCCGCTGAATCCTTGCTCAAACAACACGTCTGTCTTTTCTTTGCATTCCATCTATACACATACTTATGTAGCTGTGCTTCATGAACTAGCACTTTCTTTTCGTTCTTGAACTGTGGACTATCATTCATAAGTAACTTGTTTCTTCCTTTTTCTGCTCAGTCCCCGGTAGATTTGAGTGGTCAATTTGGCCCTAATGGGGCGCTCTATGACGTATGTCTTTTCATATATGTTGGAGATCAGTCTGCGATTCTTTGGAGGGATGTGGTTTTTGCAAAGTGGAAGAATTAAGTCTTGTGACTGACTGATACGATATAGGGATGGGAATCACGCCGACACAACCCATCTCACGATTGGTATGTGGAGCTCCAGTTCCCTCCTGATGAAGCAAACGGGCTATGAAAAGAAAACCGGCTCAAGTTAAGCCTCTTCTATTTTGAAGGGTGATCATCAAGCTGGGCGTTGCATCGGGAACGATCATCGGCTTCGAGATCGACACGACGTTCTTCAACGGGAACGAAGCGCCGGCATGCTCGGTCTATGGGCTCGATAGACTAGACCCTGTCCCGGATTCTCCGGACGATCCTCAGGTGAACAAGTCCCGCTTCGGCAATCTCTCTTACCCTTTCTTCGATCACTCATTCTCTATGTATCCTTGCTGGAAATCGTCGCAGTGGCACGAACTTTTGCCCGTCGTTCCTCTCGGCCCGTCCGCTAGACATCTGTTCAAGATCCCAGAGACTAAGAAAGAATATCGTTACTTGAAACTAAACATAATCCCCGATGGTTCGTCCCTTTTCAAATGAGCATTTTTTGGGGGAGAGGAGGAGGTCTTGAAAAGCTGGACAATCGAACTGAAACCGATCAACATAATATTTATATTGTTATAGGAGGGGTCGCGAGATTCAGAGTGTATGGCAACCCGATCCCAGTGTTCCCTCCAGGGAGGTTCGACCTTGCCTCAGTCTTACTCGGAGCCAGAGTCGTCTTCACCTCTGATCAGCATTACGGCGTTGGCTCGAACCTGATCTTGCCTGGTCGTGGGCCGAAAAGTATGGATGGTGGATGGGAAACTAAGCGCAGTCGAATCCCCGGCCATTCTGATTTTGTGATCATCAAATTGTCCGTCTTCCTTTTTTTCATGTTGCTCTCTCCTTATGGTGGTCAACAGTCGGGCTGTTCTGGACGGGCTCTCTTCGACATCAAATCGATCTTCTTCTGATTTCATTCCGGGGTTGTTAATCATAGAGCCGATAATGGATTTCTGGATTATACCGAAATTGATACCAATTATTTTATCGGTAATTTCCCTCAAATGGTTGATTTATATGCTACCGTTTCCGATCAAGTCAGCCTTGCCCCCCCCCCCTCTCTTGATTGAAAAAATATTCTGATAGCTAGAAAACCTAATGTCTTTATATCCATTAGATTGTACCAGATCCGAGTTCGAAATGGACAGAGATCCTTGGCAAATCTAAATTGGGTCCTCATCAGCAACACTACTTCCAACTTACAAACTCACAAGAAAGCTTTACTCACGTCCGAATGACAATTTACCCAGGTAAGCTTTCCCTATTGGCTGATTGTTCGAATATGCTTTCTTCTTGTTTTACTGCTGCTACTGATGATGGCTTCTGTGGTAGATGGTGGGGTGAAAAGGATCCGCTTGTTTGGTAGAAGGACGGCCATGATCGAAGAGAACTCAGAATCACCCATGCCTGCTTCATTTATTCACGAGAAAAACGGGGTGACTGTTCCGAGGACAAGTGTTCCGATGAAGAAAGCGGAGGGAATGGAGAGGCGACTCCCGATTCTTCCATTGACCAAGACGGGCTTTGAGCGGTACGGAGCAGTGATCGAAGCGCATCTAGATTCGAGAGCAAACTCGCCCGAGATCCGGTCGAAAGTGGTGAACTTTGGGACGGCGATCAAGTTCGATAATGTTGCGAGTCTCGAGACGAGCAGTGATCTGAATCATCGAACGGCAAGACCTAACCTTTGCTTGTTCAGTTGCCAGCCTTGGCCGGCTCATCTATTGGCTGGTTCTGGGAAGCTCGAGTGGCGCTTGAAAGGCCTCGAACGTCATCAGTTTAGCTCCCAAACTTTTGTCCCCCTCAGTACTCATACTCGGACCGCTGATCCTCTGGAACAGGATCGGTTTAACTCTCAACCTGAGGGGAAATATTTGATTGTTGTCGCCTTGGATCGTAAGATCTGCATTACTTTTTTGTTTCCTCTTCTCTTTCTTGGAACGACCTGCAAAAACGAGATTGAAACCTTTGTTTTTTTTTTTCTTTTCTTCTTTGTTACATGTGGGTATATTATGTGTAGATGATGGCAAACCAGACATGGATTCCTTAAGGGCTTTCTTGGGCACCAAAAGCCAAGGGATTAGTTACTTTAAAAATGTCTGGCATGCGCCTCTAATCGCCACCAACAACGTCAGTTCATTCTTCTCAGCTTATCAACTCCCACACTTTTCGTTTGATGACGATTGTCTGATATTTCGGGTGCGTATAATCAACTACATAACAATCCCCCCCCAAAAAAAATAACAAAGAGGATGGATTTTGTCTGTTGGATCTACGAAACTGGCGACCCAATAATCGATTGCGAGTTGGTTGAAGTGGACGATGTGGTCTGTGAATTGTAGATAATTATGTACGATGATTCGAGGGGTCGAGGATCACTTGTACTACACCTCTTCCGTGACTTCCTCGATACCTTCTCCTAGTGTATGCTTTATACTTGTAGCCGTTACCTTGATCAAGAATCAATTCTCACTTTTATTTCTGATTGTCGAAGTAAAAATATATAGTATAAAAGTTGTTGAATGGACAATGTATGTATCACGTTATAATCTTTGTTTTACTTGGGTCGATCGCACTTCATGATATGCCACAATGTGTATCTATTGTGCTACGAGAAAAGAAAAAAAATATGGTCAAGAAATGTTGATTTTTTTACTCCCAGATGTTTATAAGATCAACAAGGACAGCCTGCCAATTCATCTAAAAAAAAAAAAACAGCAAGGACATGAACATTGGAAGGTGAAGAAAGTAAGGGATGAGTGGAAGCCGACCCGAGAAAAAGAAAGGAAGAAAAAATCTTCACCCATAGGTGAATCCATTCTGACTACATGTGTCATCCTTGTGCAGGGGCCATGCTAATCTTCTCTGTATCGTTCCAATTTTAACGTATGCACCACCGAAGTGGGCGAAAGCTAGCGAAGAAGAGTTGTATATGTAGGGATGGATTGGACGCGTGGGTTCGATTCCTCATGTCTTCCATTGGTCAGCAGTATTTGGGGACTGATTAAAGATCAGAAAGCCCATGATCATGAGGTGCCCCCCCCCCTTCATAACAGTCTCTCTCATCTCACACAGAGGGACATGCACATGGGCTATCCATTCCATTCCTTCTGGAATGCTTCAAGGTATTCTTTATACCTTGATCAATCATTCCTCTGTCTTATCGCTTTGAGAGAGGCTTCATCGGGACAACTTCGTTGGGCCTATCAGTTGACTTGAGAAATCCTGGCTTCCATTCCAAATCGACAACTACAAGTTTGGTTATAGCAACAAAAAGTGTGAAATATGAACCGGGGTACAAATCTTGTAGCTTAACATAAGCCTCTCCTTTGGGGCCGAAAATGGACCCCGCGTCCCGAGGGAGGAGGCGCTTCGCGTCCGCGCCAGTGTTACACAGCGTCCTCCCACCAGGGAGGGACTTGTGTGTGAAGTTAGGGTAAAACTGACATGTTCACAACAATCCCGACCCCGGAGTCCGGGCCGTTAAGACAACCGGCGGCTGGCCGACATATGACAGCATATGAGGGTCCAGGCAAACAGGGTTGGCTGACTTTCCTGACCCAAGGGCATCCGACGGGCTGACGGTTGGTCTGACGGACCAAGATGGACCAACCCGTCCGTGCGGTCATTCCGACCTGCAGGTTTGTGTTTCTTTGACGTTGGCTTGGCAGCCCGCAGGAGCCATAAGCTCTGGTTGGTGTAACAGACCCATGAGGGCTCTTTGCGAGGAGTCCTGAAGGACTCATGAAAGGCGCATGGTTATGAACATCCCCAAGAGTTGAGCATCAGCATCGGTTGTGTCAGACCACCCGAACCGCCTATGATTCGTAAAGGACAAAGGTCTCGTATGGTCTAAGCTATCCGCTCATTCTGATCAGCGTAGCTATACATACAAAGGGGAAAAGCCTTACTAGACTCAATTCCATTTCCCTTGCTCAGGGATTCCTCTGAGTAAGACAACAGCGGAGAGGTTTAGCCCCAGGATTATGATGAATGGGATTGGAAAGAACTATTCACATTTATTCATCCCTCTAGGTTTTGACCGGACCGCCATCTGTTGATGTAGGGCAAACTGAATGCATATCAAACAACAGGGGATACCGCTACGTTGGACTTCAGCCATCTATCCCCTCAACACAGAAGGCTGGTAATTCTGGAACCGACTGGGTGGAAAGCTGATGGAGTGTTCTGAGCTTTACTGGTATATAAACGGTCGGCTTTCCAACTCTGCTTCAGTCTCTCTCATCCTCCTTCTCCCACTCTTCCGGCAGTCTTCAATAACTAGCTCCTTTATAATTTATAAATATTTGCAATCCACTTAACTCCAACTCTACCTATACCATGTCGCCCATAATTATCGACCATTTAATGGATCTTGAGAAGCTCAAGACGAACTTTGCGAGACCTCAAGCGTTGTACGAAACCACACCTAGCACATCCCACACTCCTCTCATAACAGCCAAGACGGTAGTAATCTTAATAGACATCATCATCGTCGTCATCATCTCCCTTTTATTGCTCTTGGGATATTACCTCTATCGTCGCCAGCTCAAACGGAAGGAGAACTTCACCAAGTCCTTCGAAACTTCCGAGGCTAAGCTTGCTGCTGAATCTAATCGAGCAGGTTGGTGGTCTCCCTCTTTATCTTTGGAGCGATCCTTTATACTCATCTGTCTGCCTCTTTTTTTTTCAGCAATCGAATCCCGTTCCATCTGCCCATCGACCGTCGTAGGGGACCAAGAATCAACACACAAGCTCTAAAATAAAACAAAATATCAAACCATGCTTTCCTTCTCAAGCTTCCGGATCGGCATCTTAGTCTTACCTCGTTCTTGGTCGCCTGCCTCTCTTAATCTAATTACTATCCAAAAGGTTTACTTATAACTCGTCCAAAGATTGACCAATCATCTTGCGCTCTAATATCTATTAATTCACACATTCCGCTCCTCAATTGCCTCGTCCTTCTAACTTAATAAGGCTGTCTTTTTTTTCACTACCATTAATGTCTGACTACATACCATCCATTATGACTCCAAGAGAATTGCAATTCAAAACTTGTGCCTGTTCTCCCAAAACCCAAATTTGATGTTGATAACAATCAACAGTCTTGAGATGAGGATAATGGTACATTGAGAGTATGATTTGAGAATCCTTCCAAATGAAGTGTGCCCTTTAAAGCGACGGTGTGTAAAGGCTTTATCAAATCGTGGAACCAAGGGATATTATATGCAGCAGAAACAGAAACTGCTTCCTCCCATCAAGAATTCTTGTCAAATTTTAAAACAGCTTTGACCAAGCTATCTCCCTCAAAAAATGAATACTTCAGGTTTTCTTCCTTAAGTTCTGGATCTTTCCAAAACTCATTAATAGTGGCACAAAATTGCTGTGTTATCCAGTACTTTACAACCCCAGAATATAGTGACAAATGCAACTAAATAGATAACAGGACAGCAGAGAGAACCCATCATGGTTGATGCCATCGCAACCAATGGCAGTCCAAAAATAACTACAACTACTGAATTTGAATACTTCTTCTGGTGAAAAGAAAATCTAGCATGTGATTTACCTTGAGTCAATGAAATCAGATATTCTTCTCATTCATTTTGATTTGGTTGTTTATTTCCAGTGTTTCCTGGGTGTTTTTTTTTTGACAAGATCAGAGAAAGAAAAGAGAAAAAAATTCAAGAAAATTGACTATAAGTAGTTGAAAGATCACTAAAGATTTCATTGATCAATTCCAGATAATGACAATCAGAGAAAAATCCTTTTTATCTCAAAAAAACAAATACAAAACTCATGTTGAAAAACATATATCAAGAGAAAAACAGGGCTATTGTTTTGTCATTTAAGATTCAAACAATCCAAATATTTGGTGGAGAGATTAATTGAGAAGATTGGAAAAACTAGGTCCAGATTAGAGAAAAAATCCGACCAAAAAAACAAGGAAGATGCAAAATGAGGAATATTGGTAGTGAAAGTAGCAGAGAACATCGAGAAAAATCAAAGAAAGAGTACAAGCAAGCCACCATTCCAATCCCAAATAGTAGGCCTTTCAATGATGATATGAGAGGCTTTGATTTGCAGAGGTCGGATTAGACCATCCAACAAAAAAAGAGTTTGTTCCCATGTTGATCAAGGATCTGGATAATCTCAATCTCACCCAAATGTAGTATTCCTCCTCTAAAACCTCTATAACTTTATATTTGGAAACCAGAACTGCACATAGCAAGGGATTAGCAAAAGAAAAAGAGACAGATGAGGAGATAAATCATAGGACATTTTGTATGAAAAGAAAGAGTTTAAACCTGAATCATAAGAGTACTTGATATGAACACTCAAAGAGGAGTGAAGCCAAGAATGGAAAGATGACAACACACATATCTTATGAGTGTGTCTTCCACTGCGGATCCACAGCCCGCTGTGCCTTGTTGGATCCAATCAGAATGGCTGAGAGTGAGAGCCAAAGCTCATGATGTGCAATGCTGTCAAGGAACTTGACCACACCTTTCAGAACCTCAAGTTTGTCTCCAACGTAATCATCCCCTTGGCTTTGTCCGGGAAATGACCACATTCCAAGACCCATGAATGTGCTGAGCTGAAGATCATCAGCGTGTGCAACCAATTTGAACCCAGTCAAGAAGAACGTAAGGCGCTGGTCAGTAAGGATACTTGAGCTTTGTGTCCAGCCTACAACAGAGCCTCTGCAAATCTGATACCATTCAAGATGTACCTACCCAAAGGCTGAATAAAAAACCCCGGCTGTACCCAATTAACGTCTGCCAGTGATTTCTCCAAATTTCGGCATTTTGGCATTTCAAAAAAAAAAGGCGGATTTGAGCTTGTCTGAAATTCTGATCAAGGGAATGATCAGGCATTTCTGCCAACTTGATCATTCCCCTTACATGTTTTATATTGACTGTGGTTCAGACGGTCCAGCCGATCACGGGAAAGTCATATGTGTGAGATGAGTTTGGGAGGGGTGATTGAAAATGATGTGATTGCAGGGACAATCCAGAGACAAAAGAGCTTGGCCGAGGCAACAAAAAACCCACATATTTTGATCTCTTGACTATGAATAGATCCAGCTTCCTGGTCGGGGTGGTCTCAGGAGCACCAAACTGAAGGCAATCACACTGGTAGCTGAGTAAAAGAAGGAGCGATATGCGGGATCAGTGGGCCGATTTAACTTTGAGCAGTCGGCAATACTGATACACTTTTATCGCCATCCTGACAATGACGGCTGGTGATCAATCTTCAGGCTGGCAGAGAGATTGTTCTGGATAGCCTTGAGGAGGACACGTCCTACTAATAAATATAAGGCTAATGATACTTGCATTGAATCCGCTGAATGTTGCTCCTTTTTCATTTACTCAAATTTTCTTCTCTCTCCCATCCCTTTCCCTAGATCTGATGATTGGCTCCATCATGGATCAATTTATCTTTGTAATTTCTTTCTTAAAGGATTATCATGATAACTCACAAAAATTATCAAACACAAATGAATGAGTATACTACACCCCCCAAAAAAAAACAAGACAAACATTTGCATTGAAGTGTTTATATTTTGTCACACTGATTTGAATCAATGAGGTTTGCATGGAAAAATTTAGTTCACCAACATATTATTCATCTATACTATGAGATAGGGAGGGAGGTAACGTGTAGGTTTTTGTATGTGGTAAGAAAGAGATTTTTTGCTGGGTAATGTTCCATTCAAAGTACTGAGGGTGGGCAAGTGGCTTGTGTGAAGGAAGTAGGTCATTCCAAATTGAGACTGAATCGAGCTTTCCGAATTGTATGGAATGCACTTTCTAGTAAAAGACGAGAAAGAGTTGATTCATGGGGAGGATCTGGGGAACGACTGCGCTGTAGACAACGCTGGGCCAGCTACGCTAACCGTAGCGTTAGCGTGGCGTAGCGCAGCGGAAATGCGCTACTTTGTAGCGTAGCGTTAGCGAAAAATCCACCTTTCTTCGCTAACGCTACGCGCAAAGGGCACAAAGCTGCGTTAGCTGTTAGCGTAGCGTTAGCGCAGAAAGTCGGAATTGCGCTAACGCTACGCGCTCAGGGCACAAAAAAGTGCCCGCTACGCCGCGCTACAGGGCTTTTTAGCGGGTTTTTTGCCTTTTTTGCCGCTAAAAGCGCTGTAGCACAGCGTAGCGGCTGTAGCGGCTGTAGCGATGCGCTAACACTACCCAAAAACATGCCGCCTGTTAGCGGGGCTACAGCGTAGTGTAGCGTAGCGGCGGTAGCGGCACGCTAACACTACAGAAAAAAGGGCCTGTTTTTGCGCCGCTACGCTAACGCTAAGTGGCCCTTTAGCGTAGCGTAGCGTAGCGGCCCAGCGTTGCTGTAGATATTGCAAGAAATGCGGGCGACCTTGTTTTGATGTAAGTGGGATTGGTACAATAGTGAGGTCAGCCAATAGCCAACTAACAGCCAGCCTAGCAACCCTCCCATTGCCATCGTAGAAGGGATGGATGTGCAGGAAGTTGGTCAAGAAGGAAGCTTCGAGTTGGATGCGGCAAGAGAGGTTGTTATTATTGTCCGTTTCCAGGGCTTGACGAACATGGGCACAGAGGAACTCGAGAGCGGGTTCGGCAAGATGTGGTCCAAGATATACCCAGTCTTCATGAGTAGGAGCACACCAATTGGTTCGGTAGGTTCCTGCATTGGAGATAAGCTCGTGTCCAATCATTCAATGGATAGCCTGGAGTAACCCAGCTGTGAAGGTCGCCCAGTGGTTGTTTGGGATGGGTGAGCACAGACCCCTATACTTGATATCCCACACAGGATATCAGGTCAAGTATCAATGATATCCAGTAGACATCAGTTTTTTTATCTAACATGTTTTCTGACTTCTGCAAATTTTCTGTAACATTTCTGCAATCTTTTGGTACTTCAGCAACTTACAGTTAACTTACAGAGATTTCACAGAAAGTTACAGAAAACTTACAGAAAAAAACTGGTGTCTACTGGGTATCCCTGATATTTTGCCAGATATCCTGTGCGGGATATCAAGTATGGGTGGCAGTGGAGTTGGCTCGCTTGGTTGGTAAGAACTTGGTGACAGCACCCCGGTGTAGTATGCCAATTGTGTTTCAAGTATCAAATTGCATAAAGTCACAGTTCAATATGTAGAAGGGCATATATTCTTAGGTGTATTATGGCATAATCACATTCTACGGGGCATTTAACCCATAGTCACTCACTGGAACCACTAGGGCTAGCTCCACTCAGTCAAAAGTTATTTGGGATTTAAATTTTATTTGCATACAAAATGCTTATTGCATAATGTAAACCACAAGTTGGCCTTAGTTAGCTTACATATTCAATATTCATTGCATAGGGTAACCACAAGTGAGCCACATTGTTTGTATGTACACTGAGAATCATGTATAGGGCTAGAACCACAAGTTGGCCATTTATAGATTATTGGTTAGGGCTAGAACCACAAGTCAGCCGGGTTGTAAAATAGACTATTTAAGGAGGGGCTTTCCCCCCCTCATTACAATTTTTTCATCATCAGAGCATCTCATCACAACAGATCATCATCTCATCTGATCATCAACCAGACAGAACAGAGCAATCAATCTATACATTAACCAGTGTGATCTTAATCAAAGTGCCCCATTGAGATCATTCAGCCCTTGAGAAGCATAGGAAAAAGAAAGTAGCAACCAGTACAACTTGTGATCTTAAACAAGAGACAGTGATCTTAAACCATTGTGCTCTTGACTAAGATTCAAGAAGGAAGGGAAAAGACACTTTCAATAGTCACATTTTTTCCACAATATCATCTCATAAATAAACATTTATCATCAGTACATACGTCAATCATTTTTCAAAATACATAAACATATAAACAGAAAAACACCTCTTACTCAACATTTCCACTCAAATTGTCTGCTGAATCCACGTTGATCTAGGTTTGATAAGAGACTGCTACACATAGTTTCTCTATCATCAGTTTTTTGCCACAACAATAAATAAATTGTTGTGTTAACTCTAGTGTAGTACAATAGAGGGGCAGGTCTTTCAAACCAGCCGTAACAGTTGTATTAGATCATTACATACGTGATATATCTCATCTGCTATTTCCCCCTCACATGACTGCCACCATTCCCAAAGGAGTTCTCACACCGGAGATTTTGAGCTTTTCGAGCCAATGGGTCTGTTTCTGGGGATCCTTTAAGAGCTTTCTCAAGGTACTCAAGGGTTGAATTAGCCAGGAAAATGTCTTCTCCAATCAAGCATTCTTGAAGGGAGGATAATCGGAAGAAATCGTGGAAGCCAGTGATGAAGTTGGCCTGTGTTGGGTCTGATTTTGCGGCTTCCACTTTAGTTTGTATTGCTTGTATTTGGCGGACAATATCCTCCCCCTTGTATGACAACATACAAGATGTATCATACCGTCCAGAGGTTGGGATTGTGTATCCTAATTGAAGTTCAACTTCCATGTCTAGCATTTTGTCCTGGGTGGCAGTCAATTTTGATATATTTATATTAAGTTAGCAACTGCAGGGTGTCATGGATTGAAATTCCAAGAAGAGGAAGGCTCACCGTGGCTGGTAACACAAAATTTTGGTCAATTATTAGAAAGTGAAACAAATTCTGTCCAAGAGATTGATTGGATGCCAACGATGGATGATGAGCTGAATGAGTCTGGGTCAGCAAACAATGATGTAGAAGGATGATTATATGTTGCTTTAGTGATACAAAGAGTGAGCCAATCACAAGAAAAAAAAGAAAGAAAGAAACTTACCTGGGATAGGACAGTACTGAATGATGTGGAGGGTTGAGGAAAAGGTTGTGTAGCTCACCACAAGCCACTCGATCGGAGGTGTCAAGACCTCACAAAGGGGGCCTCTGAAGGAGGGAGGGGCTTGTGAGCAGCAGCATCTCGACCGACCGCCCCACGAATACAATAAGGCTTGCAAGTTCCAAAACAACAGCCTGTAATCATCTTTTCATTTTCTCATGGTAATTTGAACACTTTTGTAGCTTTTTTGGTCAAATAAAATAGGTTCCCTTGTTAGAAAAGTTTCCAAGAAATAACTGGTTGCAGGCTTGGAAAAACTTAAAAGGATGAGTTGGAGGAAGTGTTTAAAAAGGGGTCTTAGCTAATCGACTCCCAAAAAGTGGAGGATCGACTCCCAAACCCCGAAACCCCCGGAATTTCCACCGAAATCCCCGAGGAATGGGAGTCGATCCCCCAAACCCGTCAGCGGGTTTGGGAGTCGAAAAGCTAGTAATTTTAATAAAAAAAAAGGCCAACCCCCGAAGGAGTTGGGGGTCGACGTCCCAAAACCCACTGGGTTTTGGGTGTCGCTTACCAAAAATAGCCCGCAACGGCCGGGAGGATTCCTCCCGGCCACTGATGGCACACCCTCACGCGGCCGAGAGAAACACTC